TCATCCTCTGGAACCAGAGCTCATATAACCCCTTCCTGTAATGAATTCCCTTGGTTATGATGTTTTTTTATCACAGCAATAAACAGACTGACACCTCTGAAGTACAAAGACAAAAAGATATAACTATAACATGCCAGTCAACTTATTTACATGAACAAAGTAATTATAGCTATAAAGACAAATGAAAGAGACCTGGTATTGAATGAACTTCTGCTTCTGGCTTGAATTAATATTTATTCATAAGGTCAGGCGGTGATAGCACACACCTTTAATCCTAGCACTCCAGAGGCAGAGGCAAGTAGATCTTTGAGTTCAAGACCAGCTTGGTCTATAGAGTGAGTTCCAAATGGCTAAACTACACAGAGAAACCCAAATAAATATTCATTCACAAATTTCAGCTCTACTGGGGAAAACACTAATAGTCATCTTCATTGCCAGAGATCACTGTACATAAAATGTTTACTAGCATAAAAATCTGTAATATATTACTTAAACTATAAGTTCTTCCAGCAAGACTTGGTGGTAAAAGTCTACCTCACGCCAGACACCGCTTTAAGCACTGGGGACACAAGGGATAATATCTGCCCTTGGGAAGCTTCCATTCCAATGAAAAAGAGGACAAATAAGAGGATAGTGTAAGGTGACCACAACTATAGCAAGAAGGAGGGGGTGCATTTTAGAGAGGATTCTGGGTGAGGGCAAGACATAAGAGAGATGAGGTAGAGAGCAGTGAGGGTTTAGAGCTAAACATGATCACTGAAAAATATAAAGCAAGGGGAAAACAATTTATGTTACATAAAGATACACATGGACTGAAAAACAGAATGCTGCTTAATTTTTTAAATTCCCCAAAACTTACCATTTAAATGCCATACTATTTTGGACACTTAACATGCCTTGAATATATAAATTTTTATTGCATTTATTTACTTATTTACTTACTTATCTTACCGTGTTGAGGGTTTAGTGTCAGTATGCCCAAAGGCACATAGAGATGTGAAAGTGGAAGTCAGATCAACTTGTAGGAATTTCCCTCCACAATATGAACTCCAGGGATCGAACTCAGGTTGTCAGCAAGTGCCTCTACCTAATGAGCTATTTCACTGGCCCTCTCTGTATACCTTTACAGGTGACCACCAGAATGTCTAGGTAAGCACTCTTATTACTGAGCCACACTCGGCTCAGACGCTATTTATAACAATGGTACTGAATGGTCTGAGAATTTTCAAAGAGAATGTGGCTGGGAGCTGTGTGTTAGGGAAGGGGAGAAACCCACATGAAGCCGATGACATGTGTGTCCATTAGGTGAGACAGTGGTCACACTGAGTATCATCACAAGCAAAACACACCAGCTGAGTTCTTGGAAGGGTGAAGAAACCAGCATTGAGTGTTTCCTCAGAGTCAGAAGACGCTGCTGGCAAACAGCTCACAGAGAAGGGAAATGCCATCTGTTTTTACGATTACTTGGAAGGAGTCTCCAAGGGGGGAAAATCTGTTCTTAAAATTTACCCTTTTCTCACTGTGGCTAACCTCACAGTGAAATTACAAATCACCAGGAAAACCAGGGATGAAGTATGAATGAGACTCTAAATCTCATGTGTGAAACTGTGACACATCACGGTAATCACATGTAAGGTTTTGCATGATCACCACATATCCTAGACATGAACAGGCTAAACAAGCATTCCAAACAACCTCTGCCTCAACAACGCTACAATTCAAACAGAAGGCGCATCTCTCATGACTGGGAAATTCCACCCAGAAATGAAGGGAACGATATATGCATTTAAAAAGTTTTCACACAAATAAAATTCAACTATGGGGCTGGAGAGATGGCTCAGATGTTAAGAGCATTGCCCGCTCTTCCAAAGGTCCTGAGTTCAATTCCTGGCAACCAAATGGTGGCTCACAACCATCTGTAATGACATCTGGTGTCTTCTTCTGGCCTGCAGACATACACACAGACAGAATATTGCACACATAATAAATAAATAAATAAATAAATATTTAAAAAATAAAATAAAATAAAATTCAACTACGGTAAGAAAATCAGAAAGGACCAGTGATGGGGTAGGAGGGAGGCAGAGGGGACTCAGGATGCGGCAATGCTTCTCATCTTTGTTAGGGTTATGGAGGTAACACAAAATAAACATTTTGAAACCCTAAGTAGTGCAACTCAGGTCAGCACATCTTACTATAATTTTATTCCTCAGTAAAACTGATTTTTAAAAAGTAAAAGCTAAGCAGCGTGTGGCGATGCACTTTCAGTCTCAGCACCCAGGAGGCAGAGGACAGCTAGAACTACACAGTAAGACCCTGCCTCAAACAAACAAACAAAATATAAAAGTTAAGACAAGAATGGTGGCTCATGCCTACAACCCTAACTCTCAAGAGGCTGAGGCAGCGTTTTCTTGAGTTGAGGCCTGCCCAAATTATATAGTAAGCCCCTGTCCAGTCCAGGCTACATGCAAACTCTGTCTTAAACAATCGCAAAAATAAGATAAATAAATCCCATTATTTTTAAGTTTATGGCCCTGTTAGTCTAAAGTCTCCAACACCATGTTATGAGGGCTGAAGCAAATTCCCTGGCCCAAATGTTGGAAGCTGGGCCCGTGTCTAGGCCCTTGATTTGCTCCATTTGACTTGTGCTCACTTACTAGTACTATTCTGTGTCACCATTAAATTACTTTGTTTTTCTATTCTCTGGAAAATGTATCTATTCCTAAGCATGAAGAGCCATTACAACGTAAAATTATAGAAAGCGAGGACAGATGTTGGAAATAGTGTAATCTTCCACCATAGTCATCTAAGGCCTAGGTCTCATGCAAGATTCAGTTTTTAGATCTAATTGTAAGACTATGGCCTGCAAATTAGCCAGCTTCAGAGTCACACCTTCATACGTAGACAGAGAGCTACAACTTCCCTGTTTGGCATCTATACTTCTTTTCAGCATTAAGAGGAGCATGACTATAATTTCTCCCCACAAATCACAATTCTGGGCCCATTTTTAAAATGGGCAGATCTCTGCCATAGCCATATTCAATCAAGAGCAAAGCTTTCTGTTCTTGATTCTGGTTTTCACAATCAGAGCCTACATTCAGTTACCAGAAAGCATGCTAAACAAACAGTTCAATGTATTACCAGGCACTAAAATAAAAAAGTTTTATCACCTGCTGGAACGGTGAGTACTGAACCTACAACAGTTGCTTCCTGTCAGAGACAATCAGGATAAAGGCACGGTCATGTTATCTCAGTAATCACATTCAGAGGACTTAGTAAAAATAAATAAACAGGCAAACAAGGAGAAGAGGGGAGAAACACTCAGAGGAAACCACAGAACCACAACCAAATGACACTAACCAATCAAAGGTCTGTGAGCAGTGAAGAACTGAAGAGGTGTACTAGGAGACACTGGACTGACAGAGCCTACCTAGCTCACTATCACACACAAGCCCGAGTACTTAGTAAACAACATTCTTCATGGTGACTCTGGGATGAGAGAAGGCATTGTGTATTCAGTGCCCCTTAACACAAAACACAGATGTTTCAGAACGGGCAGGGACTTCACCATCTCACCCACTCAAAGATACCAGGCATGCAAAGCACCCCACATCTAAATAGGGGTAAGCAACTAACATCACACCAAAGTCACAAGTACGTCCCACAGCCTTTTGTAAAACCTTCACATAGGTTTAAAAGTAAGGTTTTTCTTGGTAGCCCAAACTGGCCTTGAATTTGTGAACTTCCTGCCTCAGCCTCTTTAGTGCTAAGCACGTACCACTGCAGCTAGATGTACATGGAATTACAAATTAGCAAAAACATTTTGAAACAGGATACTTATTATAAACATTCTCTTTGCAAAGAGACAAGCCCATGGTTTATTCATGGACTCATTAGCACATACCAAAATTCTGTACCTCTAAATTTTAATTAGTTCATGACTCATTATTCTCAGTCCTCACTCCTTTCCCTACCTCTCCCAGATAAGACAGCACCTCTATTTCCACAACAAAACTCCCCATCCTGTTTTCTTCTTTTTCTGTGCGCCTCAGCTCAAGTGACAATATGAACTTTAAGTTGGCAAATGATGCTAGAAACATACGAGGACTAATTGCCCCAGAACAGATCTGGACACCCACTCACAAGCAAACCCCAAAGGTCAGCCCACTCTAGCCTTAACAAGTGTCACACTATTTTGTCAGCATGACTTGAAGACAAATCACCCCTCTATCTCTCTCCCCTTTCTCTGCACCATAATCCTTTGCTGATAGTGTCATTGGAATAATGTCCTCCTTTGGGCACTTCAGCATTTTCACTTCAGACAGCAAGTGCTAAGGGGACACAGCTGATGCAGCTCCCACTCTTGTGGTTCCTTACAAACACCTATGGTTTGCTTTTCTTGGACAAACCCTGAGAATTGATTCCCCTACTCTTCCTATCCCACCTATTGGGAAATAGCATGAGCTGGCTGCACGATTGGCACCAACATGGGTTGGTGATCAGCCACTCCTATTCCAGTATCTTCACTAAACAAGTCTGACCAAGGGGACATGTTGCTGCCTGGAGACAAGGCACTGACTCAGTCCTAAGCAGGACAGATGGTAATCTGTCTGCTAGAACCTGGGCCCAAGTAGTGTGCATCCATTTAATCCTGACATTGTCCTGTTTGACCCCCTACTCTGTAGATGGGGGCTGCAGATGAGCAGCTAAGCAATTTACCCAGGTCAGGCTCTTCTGGAGTATTATCAGAGCCCACTCATGACTTCAAAGCCCACACTCAACAGTAGGCTGTAAGTAGCATTAGCTGTTTGGTTTACATGAAGTCACCAAGACACTGAGTGCCTCACATTCACTTGACATCTGGCTGCAAGACATAGGCCTTATCATAAAGAATGGGAGATCTAAGTCTTTAGATGCTACAGAAAAACAGATTTGGACAGACTTTACACTTGCTGTTTGAAAATTACATGAACACTGGAGTATGCAGGAGTATTTATTACCTGGGCTTACAGTCAGCTGAAAGCAATGAAGCTTGTTTGGATCAGGGAAGTGTACTTTACATGTACCTGCAAAAGAAACAGCCATTAGGAAGGTCTGCAATGAGCAGCTATCCACATGCTGAGCTAAAGCTAACACAGATGTCAGCAGTGTTGACTTACAAATGGGTCCCGACACTCAACTGTTCTGTTGTTGTTCCTGCCATTCTCATCTTACTAAATTCCAAACCAAGGTATTTACTTCAACTTTGAAATGGTCACTGAAGAGTTCTTTTTATTAATTAGAGAATTTTGATATTTACTCTGGAAGAAACTATCTTTCAAAAGCATTAACGTCAAGTGGGTAAAGGTTAACTAAACATGGAAAAACCAGAAGAACCAGGTTAAGCGTCTATTCAACTTACTCTGTACCAAAGAGATTCACAGACATGCATGTCCATCAGAAGTCAAGTTAGAAAGGAGATGCCTTAGAGTTAGCTGCCACCCAGCATTTACCATAACACTGGAGGGAAAAAACAAACAAACCAGCGATCCACCTGCCTCTGCCTCCTGAGTGCAGGGATGCTCATCTTTAGTTCTAGCACCGGGGAGGCAAAGGCAAGCAGACCTCTATGACTGCAGGGCCAACTCAGCCTACATAGTGACACACTTTCTCAGAGAAGCAAAAAACCAAAAACTTCACACCCTAACTGGTAACTCAGCTTGCTCTGTGGAACGAAGCTTCACTGAGCTCAGTAGCAATGTTCTGGCCTACTGGTTACTAAGAAAGAAGGGCCTCAGTCAGTTCAAGCACACCATTGAGGAGAGACATCAAAGTCAACGGTATAGTCAAGGGAAGTTGTCTATTGCACTGGCTGCCTCCTTCACAAAGGATACAGAAGGACTGCTATCACTTATGAAACGCCTTTCATATCTGTAAGAATACTCAGGAAATCTCTTCCTATGTTCATGTAACTCAGAAGATACACGTATAAATTCCTTAGTGTATCTACAAAGGTTGTTGCTTATAAAAGTCCCACTTGTTCAGTTCTACATTGATAAAATTTTCAACAAAAATAGGATGATTTAAATACAGTGAGAATAACCTTAAAAAACATTTGAGTTCACACTCTGGTTTCATTTTGCTATTTACTAAGCATGTCATACATAGAACACTGAGATAAAACACATAGAACAATTTAAGACCAAGATAGACTTTCTTTTTTACAGCGGGGGGGTGGGGTGGGGTGGGGTGCTCAGTCTACAGGTTAAGAAGCAATTTCAGAAACACACTACCCCATTCTTTACTTTAGAAATAAAGAGACTTAGACTGGAGAGACGGCTTTTCCAGAAGTCCCAGGTTCAATTCCCAGCACCCATACAGCAATTCACAACTGTTTGTAAGTAACCCCAGTTCCAGGGGTTCTGACACTCTCACAAAGACGGGTGAGACACAAATGCACATAAAATGAAAATAAATCTTAAAAAAGTAAGTTTTTTTTTAAAAAATAAAAAGACTCAAAGCAGTATGTCAAAATTTTCTGCAAAAATCACATTTAGAACTACGTACACTGAAAACAGGCTTCATTCCCTTATCTTTTCAAAATTTTTTAGGTTAGCTAACAAAATATTGGGTTTCACCATGGCATCTTCACGCATCCTTATTCTTCACACTCAATCATTCCCCTCCCCCACTAACCTTCCCTCTATTCCCCTGCCAAGCTGCTTTCCTATCTTCCTACTAGTTACTTCCAGTTTCCTTTTCCATGGAATATTACCTTTTCCATCTGTTAGTCTCTTCCTGTCTTATGATCCCCCTTCCTAGTTTTAGAGCTAGCTCCCCAATACAGAAACATCTATGTATCATTTTACATAGTTTCTGCGTATGAGAAAAAACAAGGAGCTTATCTGAGTCACACTTATTTCTCTTACCATAAACATCTCCAGCAGCATTCATTTACCTGCAAATGCCAGGATTTTATCTCTTTACAGCTACATAAAATTCTTATGTATGGTGCCAGGCGGTGGTGGTGCACGCCTTTAATCCCAGCACTCGGGAGGCAGAGGCAGGCGGATCTGAGACCAACCCAGTCTACAAGAGCTAGTTCTAGAACAGGCTCCAAAGCTACACAGAAACCTTGTCTTGAAAAACAAACAAACAAACAACAAAAAAAAAACCAACAAAATTCTATTGTGTATATGTGCATTTTCATCACTTCCTGGCTCTTGTGAATAATGTAGCTCTAAGTGCATTTGTACGAGTTCTTGGTATACTGACTTACAGAGAGTCCTTTGAGTATATACCTAAGACTGGAATAACTGGGTTATATGTAAGTTCTATTTTCTTTCTTTTTTTTTGGGGGGGGGAGAATTCCATATTGACTTCTGTGATCACGCAAGGTTATTCCCATCAAGAATGAATAAGGATCATCTTTTCCCACATCCTCCGTAGGATGTCTTGTCATTTGTTTTCTTGACAACAGCCATTACAACTGGGTTGAGATTGTATCACTAAACTAATTTAATTTGTATTTCTCTCATGGTCAAGGATGATAAACACTTTTTCAAGAACTTACTGGTCATTTGTATTTCTTCTTTTGAGAACTGTCTAAAATTCACTAGCTCATTTATTGATTGATTTAGGTTTTTGTTTAATTTTTACAGTTCTTTATATAGCCTGGATATTAATCCCCTGTCTGATGCATAGATGGCAGATTTTTTTAAACCATTTAAAATTATTAGTGTGTGTACACATGATGTATGTGGGTGCACATTTCATGGCACATATGTGGAGGTCAGCAGACAACTTACTTTACGGAGTTGGTTCTCTCCCTCTAGAGAGAGATCTAACTCAAGTCTCCAGTCTTGCATGACAAGTGCCTTCACCTTCTGAGCCATTTCATGGGCCCATGACAAAGAATTTTCTCTATATTCTGTAGACTGACTCTTCTCAATGGTGATTGTTTCCTTTGCTATGGAGAATCTTCTTAATTCTATACACCATGTTAACTCTTAGGATTATTTCCTGTGTTACTGGACTTCTTTCCAGAGAAACCTGTCTATGCTATCTTAAAGTGTTTTATCTTGACCTTATTTTTAAAATAGAAACAACAATCTTTGAGATACAAGTAAGAAGAGATGAAGGCTTAGTAAATACTTCAATCATTATTTGAGATTGGTGTTCTCCGTTTGTTTGTAATACCTGGCACCCTTTTTCTTTTAACAAGAGTTTAAATGTGGAATCTCTGAAATGGATTAGCCTTCCAAAAATACAAAATAACACAAAATATACAAAATAATAAAAAAAATACATAGTAAAAGAAGTTTTAAAAATTAATGAAACCACCAAAATCCAATAACAAAGTTTAAAGTTCAAGAAAAGTCAAGTTAAAAAAATATATAAAAGGCTTTTCAGGAGGGAGGGGAGAGGCAGGGAGGGGAGCAGAGCAAAATGTAGAGCTCAATAAATATCAATAAAAGAAAAAAAATATATCAAAAGAGAAAAAAGGCTTTTTACACACACACACACACACTCACACATATATATGAAGGTTTTGATATATACATGTGTGTATGTTTATATATGGAGAGAGCGCGCAAAGCTTAAAACGCTAGAATTAGTTTTTGTTATATAGAAGAGGACCTAAGTAGATGTGCATTTCCAGAAAAGCCTCTATGCGCTTGCTCATACAGAGCTCTGAGTTCATTCTGCAGTTACTAATTACACTGCCACATAGAAAGCTATCCTTATGGCTCTGTAAACATTTTAGAAAAGGTTTTAAACAGACAGCAAAGAATTAGTTTGTGGTGGCCTGTTTCTTCTTCAGGATGATGAGTGGAAGATTTGTGGAAAGCATGGGGAAAGAGCAGAAAGAAAGTGAAAGCAGCATGTCAAATAATGTGTGCTATCTGATGTTTAAGCCACAGGATGGGAAACAGACCACATCTTTTCCAAATCCTGCAAGACTCACGTCAAACACAAGCTAGTTCTAAGTGGAAACTCTGTGCTCTCTAATGAAGACACACAGACAGTTACTGGACTAGAATACAAAAACAAAATCACCATGTGGTACTTTTTTATAGGAATGTCCCAACCACAGGCAGGGAGACAGGCAAACAAGCTTATCACCTGACTCCAGCGCTCTGCCCTCCTTGTCTATCACGCCTATGCACTTTTACTTTCCTAGGCATTTTTTTCTTACACAGAGACAGGGTTTCCTAGAAAAAGCACTGGCTGTCCTGAAACTCACTTGTATTTCAGGTTGGCCTCAAACTCGGAGATTCACCTGCCTTTCCCTCCCAAATGCAGGGATTAAAGGTGTATTAGTTAAAGCATATCCTTTTGCTTTTCCCTAGGTAGACAGAAATACTCCCTCCACCCCCACCCCCATGTCTGGGACTGAAACCAAAGCATTACAAATATTAGGCAAGTATTCTGCTACTGAGCCATTCCCCAGCTTCAAAATTAACCTTTCAATACAATTCCCAGACAACACCTTCAGTTCTGAATGGAAGTAACTCTGAGGTCAATCCAGAAAATTCCAAAATGTTTTGGCTGAGACCAGTCAAATAAATATATTTTCTATCATAACCCACTCTTCCCCAACACTAATGGCCAAGTGGTGTAGGTAGACCTTTGATCCCAGGAGACAGAGACAAACAGTTCTGATTTTTGAGGCCAGTCTGGTCTACATAGTAAGTTCCAGGCTATCCAAGGCTGCACAGTTGAGGTCAGTCTTAAAAACAAAACAAAAGCCCTTTAACAAACAATTTGTGTTCTCACAAACTAATTTCACAACCAGCCAAGGGTTGCAGGTCACCAACTTTAGGTGTCAGTGGGAATGAAGTCTCTCCAAGAAATGATAGATGGGACTCCATATCAAACTGAAAACCCCCACACAACAAGTTACCTGTATGAGTAGGCATTCTTAGACTGAGAACTACTTTTAAACCAAATAACGCAATAAAAAGCTTTAGCAAAAAAGAAAAAAATAGTAAAATGGTCAAAGCTTTCAGACTTTTAAAGACATGACATGTAAAAGATCCGGGGGAAGATTAGTGATAGAAAAATAGAAATCTAATGTCATCCAAGTACATTTCTGGATGACAACTGCACAATCAGGTCCAACTGTCAGAAGAAAGACCGAGCAAGGGAGGTATCTGGATGAAGGGCTGTGCAGCTGCGTTTCCTCAGACACAAAGATAATGAATGGCCAATGAACACCTTCTGAATTAAATGGGAGCATACTCCAAGCAGAGCTGTCAACAGAGGAATCTAAAATGGCTGAAAGACACTTAAGGAAATGTTCAACATCCTTAGTCATCAGAGAAATGCAAATCAAAACAACTCTAAGACTCCATCTTACACATGTAAGAATGGCCAAGATCAAAAACACTGATGACAACTTATATTGGAGAGGTTGTGGGGGAAAGGGAACACTTCTGCATTGCTGGTGGGAATACAAGCTGGGATAGCCCCTTTGGATATCAGTGTGGTGATTTCTCAAAAAATTAGGAAACAACCTTCCTCAAGACCCAGTAACACCACTTTTGGGTATATATCCAAAGGATGCTCAATCGTGCCACAAGGACATGTGCTCAACTATATTCATAGCAGCTTTGTTTGTCATAGCCAGAACCTGGAAACAACCTAAATGCCCCTCAACAGAAGAATGGATAAGAAAAATGTGGTACATTTACATAATGGAGTACTACAGAGCAGAAAAAATAAGGACAGCTTGAATTTTGCAGGAAAATGGATGGAGCTAGAAAACATTATTTTGAGTGAGGTAACCCAGACTCAGAAAGACAATTATCACATGTACTCACTCATAGGTGGTTTTTAAACATAAAGCAAAGAAAGCCAGCCTACAAACCACAATCCCAGAGAATTTAGACAACAATGAGGACACTAAGAGAGACTTAAATAGATCTAATCTATATGGGAAGTAGAAAGTAGAAAAAGACAAGATCTTCTGAGTAAATTGGGGAGCATGGAGACCTTGGGGGAGGATTGAAGGAAGGGAGAGGCAGGGAGGGGAGCAGAGAAAAATGTAGAGCTCAATAAATATCAATAAAAAAAATCTTAAAAAAAAAAAGAAGAGCTGTGAGCTCCTAACACACACACATTCCTTTAAACTAGAAGGAGGAACAGAAGGAAGCTGACCAAACATGCCTCCATTACATGGAGACAGTATTCTACATGTGCTATTCAGAAGGACTAAGAAACCTCTTGTTGTATTTTGAGACAGGGTCCCTCTACATAGACACAGCTATCCTGAAGCTCACTTTGCTGACCAGTCTGGCCTCGAAATCACACATCTGCCTGTTTCTGTCTCCCAAGTGCTATGATTAAAGGCACGTGACACTACACTCAGCTAGAACCTCATTTTATTTGATATTTCAGAAAAAAATTCTTCTTGCCCAAAACTATAATTCATTCCCAACATACACAATATAGGCTTTTTGCTATTCAAAGTGATTAAAACAAATTTTTTTCATGCCATCACTATATAGTACCAATTTGACTAGCATGCTATACTTACAGGGTAAATTAGCTTCAAGTTCTGCAACCTCTGTAGAAATAAAGAGACTGTGGTTAATAGTCTTCATATTATTCATTTTAAATTAGCAATCTTTTCTAGGATTAGAGAAGAAAAGTAAGCTAGATGAACTGGAACCTGGTCTAAAATTAATATTTTAAGCCTTTAGTTTTCATATATACAAGATAACACACAGAACACCAATAAATGAAGCAAAAAATTAGACAATTCATTTTAATAAGAATAAAAATCATGTCACATTCATAAAGTAACTGACTATAGGTAAGCAGTAACTACAGTGCTTTTAAAAAATTACTCCTTCCAAGTAACAGATCTATTTTTTTCAAACTGTGATGATTTCTCTTCCCAAATGTACCTTCCAGATACCCGATGCTGGAAGTTACAAAATAATCCCACACTAGTACATATTTTCATATAATAAAGGGTTATTTATTTAGGGGAGACTCACAGATAACTGTCCTAGATCACAGTCCTCTGCATGAATGGGGAACAGAAACTGAGTCTAGTAGTTACAGGGAGCAAGAACAAGCTGTACAGCTTGCACTTATAGTATAAGAGACCACGCCCAAGTGGGCTGGTATCTTAAAGGCTATTGGCCAAAGGAGCTCTTTTGTTTAAATAAGAGAGTTACAAACCCACTATAAAAATGTGTACATTAGGAACAGATATCAAGTATAAAGTTAGAATTACAACCAGAATAAACAATATTAAGCAAGGAACATATCCTAATTTTTTAATAAATGTTCTGTCCTAAGGAGTCTAAATCTTATATTGGAAATGGCTTGGCTAGATCATAAGAGGGCAGTAACTACTACTATCTAATCTTCAACCCCATCAAAGGCCTGAGAAGGGAGATAACATTACTTGAGTAGGCAGAAAGTGCAATCGAGCAGCTCCAAAATGTGCAGTAAATGACAGAGACAACTGGCCGCCTGAGCAATCACCCAAAGTCTCATTTGCAATGTTTAAGCCACCAATTTTGTAAGGCCTAGAGTAACTGACAGACCATTTTCAGAGGCAGAAAAATATTCAGAACTGTTTTACCCTGTCTTGGCTAGGTTTGGCAGTCTTTTTTCTTGTATCCTGCTGGGTCCAGTCTGGACATTGTGCACTTTGTCAGTGGTCAAGGCATGGGCAGTTCCTTGCCCAAGGGCCAGTTGTGCCAAAAAAGAAAACAAACTCCAAGTGGAATGTCTTTGGTGTTCAATTCTCTCTAGGGAATAGACTGGTGCTGCCAGGAGCACTTGTGTCTCACACCAACAGAATCCTAAGTTATTTAAATGCCATGTTTCACAGATCTTTGAAGTGGTTGAAGGTTACCTATCTATGAATACAATCTCTATGTATCTAGAGGACCTAATTAGTCTGACTAAAAGTATAACAAACATGAATGACTATTGACCTATAATACTTAATACCTAAATAACTTAAAAGATTAAGACTTTATATCAGAATATTAAACAATCTTTAAACAATTATGCAGTAAAGGAGGACAATGATTTTAAAATGTAAACAATGTATAAATATCTTGATCAGAGGTAGATATATTGCAATATGATAAATACATTCTAAAAATTATATCAATATACAAAATGTCTTAAACAAAGGTAGAAACACACACGCATAAAATCTAACAAAGTAACTACGCATAGCTGCATAAACATTGTAAACAGAAATAGGAGCATATTCAATATAACAAGTATAATTTGAACTCGTACCATCCCATTCAGTTTTCTTTCTTTTTTGAGATCTCTGTGCCTACAAAATTTCCACCCCAATCCCCAACCCTATACAATAATAAATCCCGAAATGGTGTCCCTAACCAGGAGGACAAACTTTATTGGGACAGGGTATGTCATCTTCTAGAATTGCTTCCTGCTGTCATGGTATGTTTTTTGCTAGGGGATCCTGTAAAGACAAATGATGGTTAAGTATTAAGATTGCTGTTTTGTATAACTGCAAATGGTCTCTGAGTAGCCGACAGTGTTTTTTTGTTTTGTTTTGTTTTTTTGAAGTTCTTATTTGGATTTCTGGCCAGAACATTGTAAAAGTTCACCATTTCCACAGCTGGTACCCCAAAACCAGTCTCATAGTAGCACTATCAGCATCATGACGTCATATCAACCAGGTGGAGTCATTGTTGTGGGTTCCCATTTTCTTCCTGGAAGCTTCAAAGATTACTGCAGGAAAATCTACTGTTCATTGCTAAAAACTTAAGCATTATTCACATAGACATATATTCAACAAAAGATACAAATCAGACAAAACGGGCATGGAGAAAAGTAAAATATTTCCTTAAAATCTATTTTCTTTCTGTCCCATACCAGATGGCTCCTGACTTGAGAAATTCTGAATTTTTCTTTTAACAACATGCTTGGATTTAGAGAAGGATAGAGCCAACATCCAACTCTAAAGAAGCTCTGATTTTTAAGTAGAGATGCATACTAGTCCAGATAATCAAATTTTACCATGCAGATAAAACAGCATCATAAGTCAGATTTCTCTTTGCTTATTGATTCTTTCTGGATAGCTATTTTTTCATCTTTAGGCACCTAGATGTCCAAGGTCTCTCAACTCTTTGAAGAATATTTTCCTGTGAAGATAAGAACAGAATCCTGTCCTAATCCTTATGAGATTTTCTTACCACTTGCATGATTGTCATCTCTGGTTCTGGGAGATGCTGGAGGACAAACAAGCTGCTCTTGCAACAATTTGGCGCCAACGTGGTGTATATGTAAAACCTGAGAGGGCTTGAAAAGGAATTGTAGACACAAAAATCCAAGTTTAACCACATTTTTTTTTCCCAGTGGGCAGTTTGCCGAAGCTCCATTAAATGTTTCAATGACTTAGGACTTTTCATGACAATGAGACATGTCTACTCCTGGCAGCACCAATTACTTTGAGAGCAGAATAGGCATGAGAGAGGCTCCTTAGCCATTTGGGCAAGAAACTGCTCTTGCCTGGACTGCTTCACTGGACATGTAGGACTCGCAGAGAAATGACTGCTGAACTTGCCTAAAGGTGAGATGATCCTTCGAAGTTTTTGCTTCATGAAAGTCTGTGAGACATTCTGGTGGATACAGAAGAAAGTGACTGAATTGTCTTTGAAATTTCCTACTTCATGGAAAAGTCTGCCAGATACTATGGGCCTCTAGGCTGAAGATGGATGCCACAACAGTACAGAAGAACTCTGGATGACTGTCCAGGCAGTGAGATATCTGTCATTTCTAGAGTTTTGGAAGGTGCTTACAATGCCCTTTGTGTTTACTTAGGTAATATTATATCCTTCTGCAGTCTTTGATGGAGTTGAAGAATAGTTATAGTTTTCCTTAGTTACGATAAACGATAAAGTAAATAGAAATATTGTAACCGTAATTTTTGCTGATACCTGTTTTGTTATATGTAATTTTGCTATATTAAAGTTAAAACCTTTTTTGTTTAAGCAGTAAAGAGGAGGTGATGTGGGAGTTCCCTCTGTGTGTTGTGATTACCATTAATGAATAGACTGCCTTGACCTGTTGGCAGGGCAGAACTTAGGTAGGTGGGGAAGACTGGACTGAATGCTGGGAGAAAGAAAGGAGGGGTTAGGGAGACGCCATGGATTCGCTGCCAGAGATAGACGCACTGAAACTTTGCTGGTAGGCCACGACTTGTGGTGATATACAGATTAATGGAGATGGGTTAAATTAATATGTAAGAGTTAGCCAATAAGAAATTTGAGCTAATGGGCCAAGCAGTGATATAATTAATACAGTTTCTGTGTGATTATTTCAGGGCTCAGTAGATGGGTGGCCAGGAACCAACAAGCGACCCTTTTACCCTCTGTCAAGGTTTTTATTTCTCAAACCAAATCTTTATTGATTTTGATGGTATCCATAGCTTTTCTTCTCCTGTGGAAACAAGAGCAAAACTCATTCCCCAATGTAGCACATCTCCTGGTTTCCACTGTGAGGTCAACACATCTTTGAAATACACCAGCTGATTTAATTCAGACATTTTTTCTATTATTGAATATCTCTCTGCTGCTGCCACTGTTCCTTTTTCATTAGCATTAAGAAAATTCAAGGTTAATAAGGGATTATGCAATCTACTTCTGGGAGTATTTTCCATCCCTTTCTGTTTAACACATCTTTTCTAGTTCAATTTGATCTTTCTATAGCTGTCTGACCTGTATTGTTTAGTATACTTATAATGTGCTTTATATTATAATAGCAAAAAAAACCCTATTTCATTTTCTTAGATACATGTGCTGAACCATTGTCTGTCTTTTTTGTGTAGGTATACCGATGATGGTCATTACTTAACTTCTAATAAATGCATGATTACCGAATCAGCCTTTTCTGAGGTCAAAGCACTCGCCCAGTGAAAACCCGAGTGTCAATGGTGTAGTGTACATATGTTAATTTTCCAAATTTTGTAAAGTAGAACACATCCATCCGCCAGATCTCATTCCTTTGAATACCCTTTGGGTTAGTTCCTGTAGGTAATGGTGTTTGGTTATAGAAAAAGTAAGTAGGACATCTCCTTAGCTTCTTGCCATGTAATAGAAATCTCTTTTCTTTAAACCTTTGTTAATTACATGATGTTTCTTATAAAATTTTGAGGCCTTCAGCATACTTCCAATCAATAATCAATCAATTTCTGCATTGCCTTGTGCTAGAGGACCTGGCAGACCTGTATGGGACTGGATGTGTGTTATGTATATGGGACAAAGTCTATTCCTGATTATGTCTCGAACCTGAATGAATAATGAAGTCAATTCTGTATCATCTGGAATAAGTTCATCAGTTTCAACATGCAAGATAACTCTTTTTTGCATACTGCAAATCAGTAACTATATTGAGAGGTTCTTTAAAATCCCTTGGTTATGTACTATGAGAATAGCACATAACTCTGCCATTTGGATAGAATTATATGGCTTTGTTCTACCTTAATTTTTCTGATTTGTAACTTGCCTTTATGATTTATTTGCATCAGTATAAAATGTACACGCTCCAGTTATTGGTGAATCA